GACTGCTTTAGAGCTATTGATTGCTCTATCCTCCTGAAGCCATTATTACTTCAAGACTGCTTTAGAGCTATTGATTGCTCTATCCTCCTGAGGTCAGATTTATCACTTCAAGACTGCTTTAGGGTTATCATTATTGACTGCTCTATCCTCATGAAGACATGCTGTTACATCAGTATTACTCCAGACTCCTGACAGTTCTCATTATACTACTGAAGAACTTTCCCCTAGTGGCATCTTTAAGCCCACTCAATCATGTTCAACCAACCATCAATATCACTCCATGCACTGGTGAGTGCAAATTTTTGGGCTTTTGTGTTCAATCCCCTTCAACCTTCCAGGTTACGACTGGCAAATATACCAATCTAACCCCTCAGGTTTCAGAAAATTGAACAGGGGCAGCTGTTGCACCCCAAAATTTGCCCTCACAATACAAGACTTTGTGTTCCAAGAAGGTTCACAAGGTTCACAAAATTCACAATTGGTCAGAAGAGTTGACAATTCCCTCAGACAATGCACCTCCTAAGCAGTGCATCCAAAACTAGGGTTTTGACTTTAATCAGGCTAAATGGACTTCCAAGACTTCAAGTGAGCTTCATAACATCTTATATGTGTATAAGAACCCCCATGTCAAGTTTCAAGACTTTTCTCAAAAAGTTTGCTCAGTCAGATGATCAGATAAGTCAAAAGCAGTCAATGCAGTTAAAAAGTCAAACTGAGGTCAACTGTGGTCAAACCAAAGTCAAACTTCATGATTTTTTTTGCCAACATCAAAGAGAGGTTGGGTGAGAAATATTATCATAATAACTGTAATACCCCAAATTTTGCCCTAAGATTTGTCGTCGCATTTCATTGCATTTTTATTGCATTAATCAATTACTAACAAATTTGTGTAGTCGTTTGACTTTTTGCAGGTAAATATCATATGGCATGCATTTTTTTTTCTAAAAAGTAAAAATGGCACAATTGGCAGGAGGACATGTGTAAGGAGTTATGAGTGTGAGAGGTTGAGAGTTCGAATCTCACCTTTGTCACTTTTTTTGTTTTTTTATTATTTTTACTCTAAATTTTTCTATCTTTCATTAAAAAAAATAATAACAAAAATAGTTTTTTATTATTATTTAATTATTATTTTCGTATTTTAATTAAATCATTTTTTAAAATATTATTTTTTTCACTTTTTTCTAAATTATTCATAAAAATATCCAAAAAATCATAAAATAAAAAATATTGAAAAAAATTTTGTTCTTTTTATAATATTTTTGATTTTAGGAATAAATAGGATTATTAGTTTTTATTTTAAGTTTATTTTAATTATTTTAAATTATTTAAATTTTATTTTTTCTTAACTAATTATTTAGTTTGGGCTTTAAAATGGGTTTTAGGGACATTATTGACAATTTGGTGTTAACCCTAATTTGTTCCCTATATATACATGTGTTGCCTTGTTGGAAAAGAGGGGAGAATGAAAAAAACCTAAGAGGAGTGAGTGCCGTTTGCCGTTATTTAGTTTTCTTCTTCATCCATTACTATTGTTTCTTTTTCTTCATCGTTTACCGTTATTTCTTTTCCTTCATCTATTACTGTTGTTTCTTTTTCTTCATCTTTTACCGTTATTTCTTTTTCTTCATCTATTACCGTTATTTCTTTTTCTTTATCTATTACTGTTACGTTTATATATATATAATTTTTAAATTGTTAGAGTTTATATATATAGGATTAATTTTTGATCGAATTATGTCGATACGATGTTTGCACATTTGTGTGCATGACGCGTGACATTTGTGTTAGTTCGATCTGGTTGCGATGATCGCATTTTTTGTGTGAGCAATAATACTATTTTTTGCTTAATTTCTTTTTCTTTGCGATAAATTTTGTTTCTTCCGATTTAGATCTGGTTGCGATGAGCGCATTTTTGCGTTAGCAACATTGTTGGGTTATTTGGCACATTTAAAATTCATTATTGCTTTATTATTATTATTATTATTATTATTATTATTATCATTATTTATTATTATTATCATTATTATCATTATTATTACCATTGTTATTATTATTGTTATCATTAATTTATTAAAACTTGTTATAATATAAAAATCTGTTTTTTTTAAAAATAAATAACATTAACATCTTTTCCAAATTAATATGAAAACCTATTATTTTTAAGAAAAACTTTTTTTTAGATAAATTTAAAATAATAACTAAAATCTTTTTTTTTTTAAATAATAACTAGAACCGTTATTTATTTTATCTTATTATTGTTCAATTCAAATTTCATTATCATATTGTATCAGCTCCTCTCATGTAACCTCGCGAACTTAACAATCGCTCTTTAAATTCTGCCTTTAAATTTCTGCTTGCATGGTTTAAACTATGACATTATCTCTCTGTTTGCATGATTCAATTATCTCACGCGTTTACCATTATTTCTGTCACATTGCACACATCCGAAGTTTAGGTCTAACTGTTTGGCCGCCGCGCCAATAATCCATAAACCCTCACACATTCAAACCCTCAAAATTACACCCTTACAAACCCTACTTTTCACAAATGCCTCGCCGCAGGCAAAATTACAACTTTACCCCTAGCATTAGGTCAAAGAGCCGCCGCGCTCATTTTAGGGTTTCCCGCCGCGGAATCCCTAACCTAATTTAACCCTAATTACAACTTAACAATTCAGCGTAGAGATTTGGAGTTTCTACACTCCGCGTAAGCGTGTCCTTAAGATGCGTTTATTCCCCTTGAGACCTTGACCACAGTCAAGAAGTCTCTAACCTCCCTTTTGAGGGGAACTACGATTACTCTGATTCCACTCCCGTAAGGATACGTAGGCACAAGATGCGATGTCTTGCCGACTAAACTTAGAATTAACCCCCTTTATTATTTATTATTGCTTATTTATATTTTATTTATCTTTGCTATTTAATTATTTTGCTTATTATTTTGTAATTGTTTCTTGGATGTAAAGTTGTTTAATTATTTAATTATTATTATGGTTAGTAATAAGGGAGTGCAACAACATGTATGTAATATTAAAATAAATTTAGATCACTTTTAAATAAAGATAATTAAAATAAACACGTCACACACGTAAGTCGATTTTAATCGCCGTCTCACTTCCTAAGGATATCCCTCAAGTTGCCTACGAATAATGGTTAAGTGGGGTGTATAAAGCAAGTCCCTCAAATAGAAAAATCATCAAAGTCCCTTATGGTTGCCTTTACGAATCGAGTCCCTTTCGAAAAATGATGATGGTCCCTTATATGTGCTTATTACATCCCACAATGGCCTTCAAAGTCAAATTGTCCCTCACATGTCCCTTAACATCCAAAGTAAGGACTACCTACTCCATTATAGTAGGGATAGTCTTACTAAAGGAAAGAATGAAGAATAAGAAAGACCTTTAAACTTTAGGGTAGGTTACTCCTAGGTGCTTGCTCACTTCAAAACTGTTTCGCACTTAAACAAATTTTCAACAAGTTTTCAAACAAGTTCTTAACACATCCTTACATGGATTATTTATTAACTATTCTGAAAATTTTCTATTCACACACTACAATTTCAAAACAATTCAAAAGTGAGCTTAAGTACCTAAGAGCCCATGGATAACCATGGATGAAAAGGATGCTAATACCTTCCCTTTTCATAACCTACCCCCCGGACCCAAAATATTCTCTAAGGTCTTTCCTGTTCTTTTATAACCTTTCCTTATGGATAAAATAAAAGTCGGTGGCGACTCTTGCTATCCGCAACATTGTTTAAAGTCAGTTCACCGGGTTACACTATGCTTTAGGACACATCCATTAATCCTAAAAGACAACTAAACATTCTTAACTAAAGACAAGTCGTTTACGTAAAACAGTCTTAATAATAATAATCTTGATGTAAAATAATCCACTTAATTAAAGTAGTTTTGATACTTTAATAAAGCTCTTACGGCCTATGAAGTTATCCACTACATAAAAATGCATAAATAGATCAAAATTTTAGATCAAAATAGTCTCGTATAAAAAAACAAACATATTTTTTAAAATTCTTGCACTTTTTATTTACGCTGTCTAAAGACTTTCGGAAATCACAAAATATACTTTTCAAATCGAAACACTTCAGCAAAAACATTCGGTTTATATTTTATTCTATGAAACACTTCAGCAAAGACATCCTGTTCACATTTCATCTCCGGAACAGACAAAGTAAGAGTTCCAGATTGAAATATTTTAATTTGTTCACCGAAACTCATTTTAAAAGTCTTCCGGTTTGTTAAAGTGTGTACTGAAAGACTTCTCAAATGTGTTCCGGTTTAATTTTGATTGCATTTCGGAAGAGTCATAAAATGACTTTCAGTATTATACTTGTTGACTTTCGGAACTCATTTGAGATGTGTTCTGGTATTGTTTCACGTTACTTTTTTAATTTTTTATTTTACTTTTCACGTTACTTTTTTGTTTTTGTTTTTTTTCACGTTACTTTTTTTACTTATTTTTTTGTTTGTTTATTTTTTTCCGTGGTGCGAACACGAGGCGCTAGGACATCAGAGGGTGCTTTAGAACAGGACACTTCATCGAGATTTGTTAACGAAGAAGAGCATGTTGGTGCATCCGCATCCGCAGCCGCAGTACCGCCGACTGGCTATCCAGGAGGGCCTTACGATACATCTCTGTTGGTTAGATACGAGCAACATATTGCCATACATGTATGGTTTGGTGAGGTAAGTAAACGGCATGTATTTGATATTGAATAATATTTGAATTTTTAATGTTGTATTTTATAATATTCGTACTTTTAATTGTTTTCAAGAGAGAGACCCGAAGAAAGAGCTGAAGGTTGCTGGATATGGACTGGAGCTTGTAGCGAGGGTTCCACAACAACTTCCCAGAGAGATGGAGCGTTGGGTTTCTAGGTCTGGTCTATCTTCACTCCAGAGAATCAGTTTGACGAAGATAGACACAAACCTGATTTTCGCATTTGTGGAGAGATGACATATAGAGACATCTTCATTTCACATGCTGTTTGGTGAGATGAGCCTTACTCTGGATGATGTCTCTTGTCTGCTTCACTTGCCCATCAGAGGAGTGTTCTGGCCCCCGCAACATATCACAAAAGCGACTGTTGTTGGACTTGTTGTTGATTACTTAGGAGTGTCACAATATAGGGCGCAAGAACATGTCCGTCATTGCAGGGGTTCTTACTATAAGCTGGAGTGCTTATACGATTTATTCAAAAAGTATAGAGCTGCTTCTAGATGGGGATATGCGACCAGAGCGTATTTGCTGATGTTGGTGGGTTCCAAAATTTTTGTTGACAAGACCTTTACGCTTGTCGATGCCCGATATCTCCTACTATTTACGGACTTGGACAGATTATCAGGATACAGTTGGGGAGCTGCTGCGTTGGTTACCCTTTACAGTCATCTTGGAGATGCTTCTATGTTTAGTTGCAAGCAGCTTGGTGGTTATCATATTCTCCTACATGTATTTATTTTAATTTAGTTTATTATATTTTAGTATATAAATTTCATTTTTTTTATTTTATTATGTTATGAATAAATTTATTTAGTTAATTAATATTATTAATTTTGTAATAGTGCTGGATTTACGAGTATTTTTCAACAATTGAAAAAAGGGGAGAGAATTGGATACCATCGCAAAATTGTGGTCTCCCTCGAGCGATGAGATGGTCATATAGGCGTAAGTTGTTGTCAATGTTGTAGACGTCTTGAAAATTCTAGCATCCAAGATGTTTCTGCTCGAGAACGAAACATCTTCTAATCTATTGTCACGGGTGGCAATGGAAACCATTCTTTCATGTTTACCTAAATAAAAAAAGTAATCAAAATGTTAAGTAAAAATAACTAAGAAATTAGGTTTGTCATATTAACTAAAAATAACTGAGTACCTAAACCCAATGATTTGTGTTTACAAAACCAATGCAGTAAAAGGATACTTTTAGTGAAAATGAATTTGTCATAGGGAAGAATGTAACACCCTTTTCTACCCCACGAATATTATGGCAAAATAATAGAATTTATCAGAGTAAAATTTTAAACACCATAAAAATCACCTCAAAGGGCGTACATTTCTCAATAAATTCAAATCAAGGTCAATGCTCCGTAAGCAATAGGTTTTCTCAAAATTACTCAAAAGAGCTCAAATGGCAGCGGAACTCAAAAAGACAAAAATCCAAAGTTTTCCTTTTACCACAAGGAAGTCAACATAACAAAAACTCAATAAAACGGTTTGACTCAAGGATCCAAACCCGATGTTACACTATCAGAGCAAGACCCTCTAAGTCAACCACAATGGCCAACGACCCAAAAACTTCAAAAGTCCTCGACGACATCCACGACTAAACCTGTTCATCTGCACGTTACCCACATGGAGGCAACATTCAAACAGGCAGGGTGAGTAAAACGATTCATAATAATCAATATAGGAATCAATATTAAAACACCATTATTTTCATATTCAACATCATCATAATCATCAAGGAACATCAAAGGTCACAACATTATAAATTACACCAAATTTTCACATAAATGCAAATGCAACAAGACTCATGCATGTGGTACCAATCATCACAGCTCGATGGACACTGGGTCATCAATCCTCCATAGATCCTCATCAATAAGATCGATTCTATACAAGAACTGGAGCACATCAAAATACCTCACGTCTACACAATAGGACTGAAGCCAAAGAAATCAAGGTCATGAACCGAAGTACGGATGCACATGAATGCATGATGTACACGTCAATAATCATCCTCATAATAACATCATAGGTGCATCATCATTCATCAAAATCATCATCATAAATCATGTCATCATAGAATCATCAAAAACTCATGGAAATATCATCATAGCTCATCATCATTACTCATAGGAATCATCATTATACAATCATGTATTAATCTCGTCGGAATCATAGTTATACTCATGGTAATTCATCATACAATTTCGTATTTAATCTTATAAAAATATTAGACAATCAATTATCTTATTTATACTATGTTATAGCCATGTTCATTAGCTTTCTAATGCTTCGAACGGGGGGCAAAACGGACTTACGGATCAAAAGTTACGTCCAAAACGATTTCGACCGAAAATATGAACAGTCGTGACGGACAACATGCAATTTTCTGCGTTTTTCACCGTTAGAGGCCTTCCGGACCTCCGATTTCGATTCCGTAAAACCCAAACTCTCATAAAATTGTAACCCATTCAACATTGTAATTATCTCAAGTAAATTTACAATTTTAACATAATTAAACCATCGAATCATTATTTTAAGATTATGCCTAAAACCTTTAAAATTAAGGGATATAGGTTCAATCCCGTATCATATTTATGCCTCTAATTCCCATAATTTCTTACAAATACCCCACAGTCATTAGAGTTATCACAAATCACTTATCCTACAAGGTTAAACAATCTAAACAATAGATTTTGGCCACGAAGGCCTATTCCTTTACTTTCAAATCAGCCTCAAACCTTTAAACCTTTAAATCAACTTTAAATCCCTATACGGTTAAAACCTCAACAATAGATTTTGGCATTGAAGGCCTAATTTCCTTTACTCTCAAATCAGTTTCAAACCCTTAAACCCTTAAACCCTTAAATCAGCTTTAAATCCCTATACGGTTAAAACCTCAACAATAGATTTTGGCCACGAAGGCCTAATTTCTTTTACTCTCAAATCAGCCTCAAACCCTTAAACCCTTAAATCAACTTTAAATACATTGAATCGCATATTAAATTTAAATACATTGAATCGCATATTAAAAATAATGAAGACAATAATCCTCATACCTTAATTGTCGACTCTAAGCCTTTCTCCTTGATTCTTGAAAACCTCGCGAAGCTTTTGCCTCAATCCTCTTCCTCAGAGCTCTGGCCTCTATTTCTTCCCTTTTCACAGTCTAACAAGAATGAATCTTAATTCTCTCAAAATTCCTTTTTGTTAAACCTAACTTTGGGCCTATAAATTGGGTTTTACCAATATTACCCTCACTAACTCCTCCTTAATTGTCCAATTTGCCCTTTGTTAACTTATATTTATTTAAGTTAATAATAATACCAATATATTCATATTATATACTATTATTTAAATAAATAACCTAAAATCCATAATTCTCAATATTTCACACCAACCACCGAAAATCACCAAAAATACGAATATTTATATTTAAATAAATCAAATAAATATTCCAATAAATTTGGGGTGTTACAACTCTCCCCACTTAAAAGAATTTTCGCCCTCGAAAATTACCTCAAGGAAACAGAGTCAGATACGACTCCCTCATCTGATCCTCACGCTCCCAAATCCAACTTTCTCCAGCTGGTCCTCCCAAAACTGTCTTTACCAGGGAAATCTCTTTACCTTGCAGTTACTTCACTTCCCGTTTATCAATCTGTACTGGCAATGCCTCAACAGTCAAATTATCTCTCACTTGTACATCATCCATCTGAATCACATGTGATAGATATGGAATGTACTTCCTCAACTGAGACACATGAAACACATCATGTAAATTCACAAGCGACGACGGTAAAGCAGTCCTACATGCTACTTCTCTCACGCTTCCGCTGCGCCACTCTGATACGGACCAACAAAATGCGGTGTGAGCTTTATGGACTTCAAAGCTCGGCCAACACCAGTTACCGACGTAACTCTCAAAAACACGCGATCTCCTTCATGGAACTCAAGTACTTTCCTTCTTTTATCATGGTAACTCTTCTGACAACTCTGCGGCGCTTTCATCTTTTCTTGGATCATCTTGATCTTTTAAGTCATCTCTTGCACAATCTCAGGTCCGAGTACAACACTCTCGCCTGATTCATACCAATATAAAGGAGTCCTACATCTCCTACCATACAATGCCTCATATGGTGCCATTCTGATACTAGAATGATAACTGTTGTTGTAGGTAAACTCAAACAACGACAAATGACTATCTCATGACCCACCTTGATCCAATACACAAGCTCTTAACAAATCCTCTAAAGACTGGATAGTTCTCTCTGTCTGTCCATCCGTCTGCGGATGATAGGCAGAACTCAACCTCAGCTTAGTACCCAAAGCTGTCTGCAAACTCTCCCAGAACCTCGATGTGAATCTCGGATCTCTATCAGACACAATACTTGAAGGAATACCATGCATTTTCACAATCTCATCAATATACAATTCGACTAGCTTCTGCAGCGAATAATTGATCCTTATGAGTATAAAATGAGCCGATTTAGTCAATCTATCGACAATCACCCAAATTGAATCATATGCCTTCAACATCTTCGGTAGACCTGTCAAAAAATCCATAAAAGTGCATAAAATCCCCTAAAGTTGTCAGAACAAGTCAGAAAAGCCTATAAAAAGCAATCGTCGCACGCATTATGAAAGCATTACGCACACGATGAACCCTTTGCTTCTCTATCGCGCAGGCGATAACACACAATGTTACGCGTGATTATTCCATTAGCTGTGTGCTTTTTCACCCCTTTTCACTAGAATTCTCACTAAGTCCCATTTCTTCATACTTGGCTATTTTCACTTATTCTTAGGTTATTCTTCATCATTTTGGCTCATTTTTTTGCTCGTTTTCCCTAATTCTTCGGCTGATTATATGTAATGATGGACTGTCATCAATTGTCAAATGTTATTGTCTCTAAGTCATGTAGATTGCCTGCCTTAACATATGACAAGCTTGAACTTGGATGATAATGAACCATCCTTAGTATTTTTTACAATCTGTTCAAGTGACTAGAGGTTTAGTTAAAAGGGGGAGACCATTTCCACACTAAAGAAAACTGCGTGCAAGCAATCAAAAAATTTCACATGGAAAACTCTGTTGATTATACCATATATCGCATTGTGTGTATCTTTGTCGCAATTTACATTGCATGTTTTGACATGCTACATCTTGCTGGAAGACAAGTGATTGATAGGAGATAAGTTTTATACATCTATCTCACACTTGCACTGCCACTAACATTGCACAAGATCATCGTAAATTAAACTCTAAACTAATATGTCAAGACATTTTCCTCTTGTTAGCAAGGACCCATTGGTGAAGATAAGTATAATAATCTCTCATATTGTTATGAGATATAATTATACTCCCTCGTACAAGAAACGTGGATTGTAAGAACAAAGGTTGTTGAACGAGTATACATAAATTGGGAGGATTCATACAAAGAACTTCCATAATATTTGGTGGAACTTAAGACATATCCCAAAAAACTATTACAATTTTGGAGACACTGCCGACATGTACGTCGGACAGAAATTATGTCAGTGGAAATAGAATATTCCATAGACTCTATTGGGCGTTTCAACCATTATGCATTAAAAGTTTTGCGTTCTGCAAACCTATACTTCAAATTGATGGAACATGGCTTTACGGGAATACACTGGCACATTACTTATGGCAGTGACACAAGATGACAATAGTAATATCTTTCACATTGCCTTCACTCTGGTTGAAGGTGAGACTCTTGGTGGTTGAAGTTTCTTTCTCAAGAATCTCATAGCACACGTTGCTCCACAACTCATCCTCTGTTTAATTTTAGACAGACATGCATCTATTGAGAGTGTGTATAATAATCCTAAGAACAGATGGAAAAATCCTCCTTCTAGCCATGTCTACTACATTAGCCATATTGCACAAAATTTCATACGGGAAATCAAAGGCAATAACCTTCAGAAAAAAGTTGTG